GTTGATAGTGATACCCCTTGTCCTTTCTTCGTCGTCGGTGTCCATCACCCATGCGTACTCAAATGATTTCTTGCCTTGCACCGCGCACTCCTTTTTGTTCTTTTCGAGAGAAGAGTGCGCCACTACGCCGACTTCCTGTAAGATGTGGCCGACGGTCGTCGACTTCCCCGAGTCGACATGCCCCGCAAAAGACTACGGTCAATGGCGAATATGTTCCCATGCGGGATTCTGTGATCTTTTTAAGGACTTCTCTATGGCGCTTTTCTGTGTGTTGTACTTGTGGCATATTACGAGGCGTCGATGGGAGAGGACTTGGAGTCTTCGGGACGGGTGTTTTTGGTTTGAATGGGGTTTTAGACGACGGGACGGGTGTTTTCGATGTCGCCGTCTTCTCAATAACAGCCGTTTTCTTAACAGGAACATATTTCTTTTTAATGAACGCTATAGCTCGCTTGACATCGTAATTCGCCTTCTCTAAAAACGTTTCGACTTTGTCCTCTGTCAACGTGTCTGCTATTTCCTCCGGCAAAAAACTGTACACATCATCAATAAGGTCTTCGATCTCATGTCGTGAAAGTTGGGGGTCTTCTTCGTATGCCATTAATAGTAAAGTGTTGTTCTTTGAAGCTTCTTAGTTTCTTTTTCCTCTTCTCAAAACTTTGAATTTTGTGTTGATGGCAAAATTCAAAAGTTAATTTTAAATGTAAATTTCAAATCGCTTTTGCAGGGTTCTTTTATATAGTTAATAACATGGTTTTATTATAGTTTTTTGTTAGTTTTCGGAGAGAAGAAAACCAAACGTGGGGAGAACAAATAGGGTTTCCTGAATTTGTATACACCTTCGAACAAGCAGTAAAATTTAAAAAATGAACTAAAAAAGCAATGGAAAACTATTGTTTGTTATATCCCCATCATTCCGATTGTTATAGAAAGAACGGGACGAGTTGACCGATAGTTGTGAATGTCAAAGCGAACAAGAACTGTCAGATAGAAATCAAGGACGACGTTGACTTAATTCTCAAACTTGTTTGTTGTTGATGCTATTGATCATCTTAAGTTCCTCACAAGTAGTTTTCTTTAACGAAGTCCAAGGAAGGCACCAACGAGCTTAAAATCACATTTGAAACGACGTCTGGCAAGTCCGGGTTTATAGGGTTTTTAGATGAGAAGTCCGGGAGTTATCAAATCGTCACAAACCTTCGCTTTACAGGGGGGGACACTGTGACATTTATGGTTGTGGGAAGCGGTGAATTATATATCTCCGGGTGTTTACTCAACTGCAATGAACTGGCGAATAATTGATTGTCCTTATAGTTTCATTAATAGGTTTTGAATCTAATTTAATAACTACAAATTGTTATTGAATGAGTAAGTATGTCCAACAACAAACCACCGATGAACAGATGAAGCTCTGGCTCGAGGAACGACGGAAGAGATTTCCTCGTCGTAAACCTACTCAAAACAACGACGAGAAAAAGACGGAAGAGTCGAAGCCAAGACCTCCTGAAAAAGACGAGAAAGAGCAGACGAAGGTGAGAGAAATTGGTCTTGAGAACATGTCAGACCTCCCCGAAGAAATATCGTCCAAAAAAGAGGAACCAAAAGAAGAAGAAGAATATCAGAAGAAAAGTGCAAACACTAATATCAAAAGACAGAAAAGACATGACATCACCGATTTGTTAATGACTAAAATGCAAGAACAAGTGCAAGAAGTCGAGTTTGATATTCTCTTCGAAGCCATCGATTTTTTACTCGAACAAGAGAACCACTGAAGTGTTCATTGACCGCTTGAGGTCGAAGTAATTGATGACTGAATTGTAATTCCTTTACACTTTTGAGTAGACGTATAGAACCATTTCTTTTGGCCTTGTTATCCTTTCAAGTCATAGATACAGGTCTTTTAAAGACAAGAGAACCATCCTCTCAGATATACTTTTGGATGAAATATACGGTTCGGTGGTCGAGTTGTTATTTATTTACTCGTTCAAAGTTACTAAGAACAATAACAAATGAATTATTAAATTTTAGTGATAAATTAAAAAGATATTAATAATAAATAGTTAAACACAATTAGAGTGACTGGAATGTAATGTGTGAAGACTCATCGATGGACTCCGATATCAGTTGGTTCATTCCTTTTCCAATGATTATTGTTCGGAGCGCGTCACAGTGTGCAAAGCACTTTTTGCCAATATACAAGACGTTTTGTGGGATGACGATGGTTTGCAACGATTCGCAATTTGCAAAACACGAAGTTCCAATTCCAGTAAAGCAGTTTGGAACAGTGAAAGAAGTGACTTGTTTTGTGGTTTGAATTTTCTTGCCATTCACGTTAAATTGCTCTGAAAATACATTCAGTCCCAAGAGCCTTTCATTGCCGAATAAGACATTATTGTTAATTGTTGCCAAGTAATTTGGAATGATCAAATTGATCAAGTTAGTGCATTGAATAAGAGCATTGACGTCAACAGAATTCAATGTTGTTGGGAGTTGTAATTTCGTCAATTGAACGCACCCATAGAAGCAAGCATTCAGTAATGAAGTCACATTTTGCGGTATCACAAGTTCCTTTACATTTGCGAATTGGTAACATCTATTTCCCAATGAGCACACGTCATTTGGTATTGTCGAGTTACCGTTCATGAGTCTGTCCATCTCTGTGTATAAGATTCTTTTACACACGTTTCCGTGCTCTTTCTGTGGGAATGTGTTATGGTAAAACACTTCATACCATATGACATGTTTAAATATCAACCCGTCGTTGAACCAAATATCATTCTTCGAATACAAGTGTTGTGTTTCGACCTTCGGGAAGAATTTCCGTGTCTTCTTGTTCATCGGGATTGGGTTATAGTGAAACCTCTCCATGTTGTGCGCAAACTTTTTACATACACATTCGACGTTCTCGTAGTCAGAGAACAGTTGAAAGTACTTCGACACAATCATTAAGCTATAACAGTCTAATGTAGCCATTCCTCCTTGTCTTCAATTGACCTTTGCAGTTTCTTGGGCCTTTATATATTCGAGACTTTCCGTTCCACATTTGTAAAATGAAACAATCACAACCTCTCATTTTGTTTCGGTTTTTCTTTGAAAACCCTTCGACTTTTCACAAGAGCTTTTCAACTTTTTTTCAATTCACTTTTTCAAGTGTTTTTGAGGTGAAGGAATTTGGAAAAAATGAGGGAATTCAAGCAAAAAAAGTTACATCAAAAGTGGTGACTTTTCCAACTTCCGTTGGGTTTTCGGTATTTTCCCATAACTGTGTGTGGAATTCCCAGTCATTTGTTTTATAATCTCGAATATTTTCGAGATTTCTTTTGTCGTTATAAACAGACGAAAAAATAAAATTTTAACAAAAACAAATTTATTTCATTTGGTAAACTTATAGTAAAAATGTTTATATTTTATTGTATTTTTGAATAACACAAAGATAACTTCATTTGCCAAAAAAGTGATTCTCAAACATACAAATGTCAATTTAATAAATATTTTTCAACAAAAGTTACACAGTCTTAATAATTGGTAAAGGCCTCTGAAACTATTTTGATTTGGGATATTGAGTAATAAATCGGGATGATTAACAATAAAGTCCTAAAGATCTTTCGAATATATTAATAGTTTTGTTATTATAAGTAGTAGTTATTTTTTTTATTATAACAAGTTATTATGAAGTTTTAAAATAAAGTTAAAATCGAATCATCATATTTCAATTAATTTTAATTACCATATAAGTTAAACAAAAATAATCTAACCAAAAGCAAATCTTGAAAGTGTTTTTTTTATTCCTTTTTATGTTATTAAACTTAATAATAATTAATACTATTTTATTAAATAATATTATTAATATAATATATTATTAAAAAATAATTAAAATTATAATCATTGGAATAAAAAGTTTATAATTGAAAATTTTTTAAATATAAATAACAATTTTTAAGAAATAAAATAATATCAGTTTTTTTAGTATTTCCTTTGATTTATATCTAATATTTATAAATTTAAAAAATAGTGTTCAGTTTATCAAAAAATGTATTATATTTATATTATAAAATATTATACACAAATAACAAAACTATATTTATTAATAAATAAATTATAAATATTTATCATACCAAATCCGATGATTCGTAAAAGAAACTCGAAAGGAACTCAAAAATATCAAAATGCTATTGTTATTATTTTTCATACTTTGTATGTCTGAAGACAGTCCAAAGCCTTCAGAAATACAAGAAGAAACGCACCCAATAACAACAAAAGTGTTTTTTGACATTCGAATGGGGAATGAAAAGGCTGGTCGTATAGTGATAGGTTTATATAGTGATGTTTCTCCAAAAGCCGTTGAGAATTTCCGAGCGTTGTGTACCGGTGAGAAGGGTCTTTCTTCTACGGGTCTTCCTCTTCATTATAAAGGGTGTAAATTCCATCGAGTTATACCAAACTTTATATTACAGTCGGGGGATATTACACAGGCAAATGGATATGGTGGAGAGTCGATTTATGGATTAACATTCCCCGACGAGAATTTGGAAGTGAACCACACCAAGAAAGGATTAGTTTCTATGCAAAACAATGGACCAGATACTAACAATAGTCAATTCATGATCTCCCTTATACCAACTCCTTGGTTTAGTGGAAGGTATATTGTTGTTGGTGAAGTTATTGAAGGCTATGATCTCTGTCAAAAGATTGGTAATTCAGGTAACAGATCTGGAGAAACAACTCGGCCCGTCATCATTGAGAATTCCGGCGTTTTAATTTAATTTTACTTTTGTGAGTTTTATTAGAAAGCAGTAATGAAGTTTATTATGTGTTTTATTGTATTATAAAACTCATTTGACTCTATAGTATTATTGATAATAAAAAATGTTAAAAATATATAGTAAAACAACAAGACAAGAGGTGTCTTGAACATCAATACATCACCTTTACTATTGAACTGGAGTGCTTATAACACATTTCTATGTCGTTCTTATGTGTATAAAAGCGAATAAACAATTTCAATTTTGATACATACAACTCATTTGGTACATCCAGTAGCACCCTCGTAAGTGCAAAACTCACCCCCATTACTACAATACCCACAAGTCTGTGTTGCGCGACACCACCCACACTTATTGTTAAGACAACTACTTTCAGTGGTTTTTGTCTCACACATTTTGAATGTGAATTCCCCATAAGAAACAGTGATAATACCAGAACACTTCAACAGAAATGAAGTCGTCGTGGTATCCATCTCCGTCGACACTATCCCTCGCACCGTCGGAGTGATTTCAGTCGGGTCATATTTAGTCTTAGGCATTACAATGGAGAGGTTGTCTGGTATTTTGTTGTCGCTATACAAAATCGGCGTGAAACAATTCCATGGTGGAGATGAAAATATGATTGGGGTAATTGGGGTGTTTTGCAGAACTCTTACTTCATATGGCCTTGCCATATCTTTAACGTTCATAAAGATGAATGCTGTTCTTTAGTATATTAATATAATATATTATAATATATATATATTATATTAATATTATAATATATATTATAATATTATATTATTATAATATATATTATAATATTATATTATTATAATATATATTATAATATAATATTATTATAATAATAAAAACAAACGTTGTACAAAAACTAAAACAATAGTTGTGATAATAGTAATAACTAAAAACCCAGAATAGAACACTAATGTCCACAAGAAATTCCATCTTTTTGTGAATTTAGAGAGTAAAAATATGACTCCACTTACTAATAAAAAAACGATGGTGTATACACATGACATAATCACACCTCCATACCCTAATATACACTGAACTATAAATGAGATGTGAATGATACTGAGTATAACAGTCCATGTAATGAAATGAACGGGTCGCCACTTCAATTTGACTCTCCCTTTATTGAACATCCCATTCAAGTCCTTTCTTTTCACAATAACAGCAACCCAAAGTACTATAGTCATTGTCATCATCACACAAAACAATATGATTAATTCCGGTAATAAGAATGGGACTATAATAGTAAAAATGCTAAATAAGATAGCTGTAGTCAATATCCAAATAGCTGGTCCAAAGACTTCAAATGAAAACACGACTTGTGTTGTACTTTTCTCCACATATGTTTCTTTCCCATTCTCTTCTAACACGTCTTGTAACTTTTTAACGGCATCTTCGACTATTTTTGACAAGTCGTTGTACTCCGTCTTAGCATTCGACTGGAGTTCTAATGTGTTTTGATGAATGGTCTTCAGCGCTTCGACGATATAAGGCACTACCCCAAGGTAATCGACACTCAAATTGCCATCCGCATCTTTCTGGACTAAGTCCGGTAACACCTCTTGCATCTCCTGTGCTACAAACCCACACTTCACCTTCGTTGGGTCTGTCTTGTATGCGTATTTCCGCCCAATAAGACCAGTCACCGACGACAAAGCGTCTTCAATTCGTGTGATGTCTGTCTTTGTTCTCGCATCGGAACGCACCAAATACCCATTCTCTGCAAAGATCTCACCATACACATGAAGGCGCTTTAATTGCTCGCTGATTTGCTCGATTTTAATAAAGTCGTTCATTTGCTCGTCACCTTCGAGTGGAAATTGGGGTGATACTTGCAGTCCTGTTTGTTCGACAAAATCGATGTTTTGGTTCATTTCTCCTCCATTATTCCTCTCGATATGTTCCACTGCAAAAGTTCCTTCATTTTCTTCGTGTTGTGCGACCCCTTTGAAATTATTGTTTTGGTCAAACATCTCATTACATGGCATCAAAAAAGCGAACGGGTAGTTCTGTGATGTCGTCGTCGAGTTTTTCTGTTCGTCTGTGTGTGTTTCAAATGAGTAAGTTTGGCCTTCTCTTTCTTTTTTGATGTTTGTTGTATCTCCTAAAGTCTCTTGTTTCTTTTCAGTCTTTTGTTCATTGGACTTCTCACTCTTCTTCTTAGAACTTGATGGGAGTTTTTCTACTAATTGAATCATATACTTTTCTGAAACTAATTTCATTGGATTTTTGTCAACTGTTTTCTTAAAAGCAGTAACAGGGTACATGTTCGGGTAATTTTGGGTATAATAAGTCCTTAAGTGAGCATCCCATACGTGTGCATAACAATTAAATCTTGATGTCAGAAATAATTAATTAACGAGTAAATTATAGAATTATCAATAAAATCGAACGAGGTATAATTTCTCATAAAAATTGACAATTGATGGGTGAGTTGGACTAAAATTAAACTCGCTAAATACATGTTTCGTTAAATAAAAAATATATGTTAATAAACACAACACACCTTGTCTTGAGTGGTTCATTACAGTTTGGGAAGACACACTTCCAATTCTTTTTACGTTGTTTGAGTGTTCGTGGAATGTCTTCTGAAGATACCATTACCTTCACATGCTCAGTCGTTCCACGCTCTTGCATTTGACAAAAAGATTCATCTCACATCAATATTACTGACTTGAGACAAAAGAGACATTTCTCATATAAAATGTCTGTCTTTGCTTGTACCGTATTTTTAACTCAAAAAAGTTTGGTTTCTTACAAAAATGAGTTATGTACTATATATTTATAACATTTTATTATTTTTTTTAATATCATTTGTTGTTTTGGGTTATTAATTAAAAAGAAAAACCATGCTGTATAGTTTTGGTTATTATTTTGTTTAATTCATTCAATTTGTTCACTTTTCTTTTTTATAAATGATGTTTCTCTTTGATTATATTTTAATCATAAATTAATTCAATAATAATTACTAATTATTTGAACTATTTATTTCAACAATTACAATTATATAGTAAACAAAACTATTACAATAATACAAAAAAAACAAAACTTAGAAACAATATTATATAAAAACTACAAGAAATATACTTAAAACAACGGGAAATTAATATAAATAAATACCCCCTAAAATTGTACCAAAACCAAGTAAAGTGAATCTGTCAAAATAAATCATCATTATTCATTTCAAAACTACATTTAATAGTATTTTAATTAATACTTAAAAGTACATACAATAACACAAATATAAAAATGTTATTAGAATAAAGGAAATGTCGCAAACTTCCCGTTATTTAATGAATAATTGTTTTGTTCATATACCCCAAGAATTCGACAAATTCACTTCATTCTAAAGCGAAAAAGCAGGGGTTTTTCAAAGTATCTGAAATTGATCAAATCTTTCCCCAATGAGATCGTTCCAATTTATGTTTTTGTTAGCACTTGCTCTTTCCGCAAAGATTCTAATCATTTTTGAGAAACACGATGAAGACGCAAAGCAACTCTATGACGTGTCAAGTAACTCAGAAATTCTCAATGACATTTCTTCCCTTCAAAACTTCAAGCGGAATAACAACACCATTGCGGTCATCCCTTTTTCAATCTTCTCTGATCCCCAAAAAATTCCGATATTAATTGAGTTTGTGGCGGGGAAGGGCTCTTTAGTTGTGTGTCTAACAAAACAAGACACTGCTCAACACTCAGACATCTTACGATCTTTCCACCTCTCTGTCGACCAATACACCAAAACGGTCGTATCACTCAGACATAACTTGACACACCAATTCGTTCAATTCGACTCCCCGCAAGCACTCTTCAACAGACTTCAAACAATTCAACAGACTTCTACGGTTCTCTTCGCTTCGTTCAATCCAGCTTTCTATTCTCAAGTTTCGAATAATTCGACTTCAAACGACAGCGAGTCGGAAATGGAGACACCATCGAAGAAAAAGGTGAAGTATACCTGTGACTCCCCAAGACAGTGTATTCTTCCTCAAGTCACTACCGCAACCATTTCTTCCGACGACTTCACAACTCCCGACTTCTCTGGAGTTCAACAGAGAGGGTTATGGCTTTCAATGGATGGCTATAATCTTATGATATACATCGACACCTGTTCTTCGGATTGTAACACCGTGATTGAAGTGACTACAGACTGTTACAGACAACTTCCCGTGACTTTTAATGGTGACAAAAATTGTTTAATCAGTTTCTATGGGAAGAGTGGCCAGAGTTATAAAGCGCACATCATCGCAACAACGACAAAGGAGACTTGTCATGTCGTTACTATAATGAAAGGTTTGTTATTAATATATTAATATATTATTATTACTATTAGATTATAATATTACTATTATAAAGCAACTCACCTTTAGAAACTTCAGAAACCCCATCCAACACCGTTAATATCTGGTTGATCATCTCGACTGGCATCTTTTGTGCGATTTTAGTAATAACTGCGACTACCACAGTGATCTACATCATTATCAAATACAAGCGGACAAAGAGAGTTCCGCCCAAAACGGATATCGAAGTGTCACTTAATTAAATGTTTATTATTCAACGCCCTTTGGGGATGGAGTTACAACGACTTGAACTTGAATTCTTTGTCCAAGTCTTGAACAAGGGTTTGTAGTGGTGCTACGTCGTCTTTACTTAACATTTTATATTGTCGACTGAAAGCGTAGAAGTGTTTAAACCCACGGAGTGTCACTGTTTGTATCCCGAGTTGTTCCATGTGCTCCATATGGTTATAAAACATATGGGCGTAGACCCGAAAGAGTCTTTTAAATATCTTGCGAACGGTCTCGACAAACACTTTAGGCGGCTTGTCGGTGAATTCCGCGGGGAAGATCTCGGGGTTATCGAAACAGCTTTGTACCCAAGTAAACAGTTTGTCGCAATACTCCGGCGCACTCAGCTGTTGTGTCTCTCCATTCTCCATCCACACGTATTCCATCTTAGGACCCGCACTCATCGTCTTACACTTCGACGCTATACATAACGCTGTGATCGATGAATATGTCAGATTCACTTCATTAAAGAGATCAAAACAATTCACGGCTACCCAATCATTCACATTTTGTCCAACAGGACATTTGACCGCTCGTAAGAGATCACCACTATTCACCCCATCTTTCACTTGAATGTGAAGATCATGACGTGGCGTCCCTTTCGGGATTTTTTTGATGGGCTTCATCGTCATCACTTTCTTGCGATTCCACATCCTGTCAACACTTGTGAATTTTGAAGATGTTGATAACTCGGAAAGTTTCGTTTTGCACGTCCGTCTTGGAAAATGAAATTTGTGTATTAAAAACAAAACTATATTTTGTAAATCTTTTTCATTAGTATATGACATTGGATAAGTATTTTTACTATAATAAAGTGGTGTGAATTACTTTTGCAATTTAATTATCTGTTTTGGAAAACTTGGGTGTTTTAAGAAAATTCTAAAAAATAACTATTGGAAAAATTTTTGGAGAGTTTTCTTTGTAATCTTCATTGATTTATTTTGTATAGTTTTGAATATTCCAATCAGAAGAATCAAACAAAGTTGACAAATTCTATATTTAAATAATTAATTTATAATGATAAATAAACCATTATTGAATTATTTATTTATTAAAAATTTTCATCAAAATAAATCATAATTAAATTATAGTTAGAATTTTTAGAACATAATTCAAATATTTTTTTATTAAAATAATTACTATTTCAATTATTTACATACAAAATAATATAACTATTATTTATAATAGATATATGAATAAGTTATAGTAATACAATCAATTAATTTGAATTATAGTTAATTTTATTTAATAAATAACAAAAGAAGTGAAATGAGTGAAAAAGCCAAAAAGTTCACTTTTTACTCAAACAAAAAAGACGATTGATGATCGCCTTTATTGAACGTCGACGAGTTGGAAACCCAATAATTTTCCCTCGAATATCGCCTTTATATTCTTTAAATAAACTTCAAGGAAGTGATTTTTTAAAAGATGGAGGGGTGCTTCTTGGTTATAATCCAATGGGAGACTCAATCGGTTTGTAACTATATTTTATAACTTAATTAACTATTGATTTACTAATCTATTGTAGGCTATTCTTGTACTCAAGTACCGACTTTGAATGAGACAGTCAGGTACAATTTCAGTCTTATCTTCTCAAAGTTTGAACCGCCATTAAGACTCGATTTTCATTCACTTCCTATTCTTCCACTCCTTGACTTAACACCATCGCTTCCCCTTCACATCTTATTTGAAAATGTTAACAACAACAACGTCGTTGTGTACCACTACTCTAATAACACACTCCACTTGTCGATACTGAGTCTCTCGAAGAACTCATTTCCGGCGCATTTCTCGTTGTCACAAGTCACACAACCGTTCTCTGTTTTCATCTTAAAAAACTCAGTAAAGGTCATTTCGTCAAGGCACATCATCACAATTCGCTTTACGTGTCAGCCATTACAAGACTGTGAGTGTATTACCGCTTCACAAAATGTAGTCTCTTTGAATGTCAACGTGACAACTCGATGTATCAAAGTGACTGGACTTCTCTTCGACACAACACCAATAACTTTCATTTCCATCGAAACGCCACCTCCCTATCATGCAATACTTCCTTTCGTTTGTTTTACTATTAATATAATATATATATTATATTATTATATTATTATATATATTATATTATATTAAGTACTTAACAAGACACTCAACGCTAGATGACTACAAGATTTGAATATTACACACTTTCTCTCAACAACAACGCCGTTTTAGTCTCCCATTTCTTCAGTTTGTATCATTCGAAGCACTTTATCCGTTGTGTTCATTACATTTAATCATATAGATGGTACCCCGACACCACAAGTAATTCATTCAACACATTTCAACACACTTTCCGAGTCACAAATAACCTTCAAACAGATGTTACTTGATCACTACAAAACAGAGAAGATAATACACCCATTGCGGTACATATACTCCTTGTCTAATGCGTCGACATTTACTAACACCACTGTAGATGTCATTAGACATCCACTTGGTCTTGCAACACTCACATTTTGAATGTGTAATTCAGTTCGACTTGTTCTTGCACCTCAACCCAATAAACAATACAAAATACATTATTTCTTCAGCAGACAATGCCGGAGTAAAAACTCTCGTGTTTGACTCTCCTTCTCTTGTCTGATTTTCTCTTCGAACAGCCGGCGATTTCTCTCGACGCGGGTCTCTCTCTTCTGTGTGATGATATCCGCCTGTTTGTCTTGTGGTCTTTCAAGAATCAACATAAGGCGGTCTTGTTTATTCACAACAACTTTACTCTGCGATTGTTGGAGTTGTTTCACTATATTCTTCGTGCTTGTCTGGGTCACATGTTTATCTTCAGACTTCGGTATTTTGAATAAGACGCTGACGCTTTTGACGGTTGATGTGTCGTTCATCTTCTCTTTATGTACGACGGGGAAGATCTCCTGAATTTCCAAATCCTCTGTCGAGTGTTTCAGTGTTGTCTCGACAAATTTGATCAAGTCGGCGGCCTCCTGTTGCTTCTCGTTATTCTCCACAATTGTGTCCAACACTTTCTTACTTCGAGGAGACCCAACGGGGTAAAACTTTTGTTCTTTGAATTGATTTGATGGCATTTTCTGTGGGATGCTTTGGACTGTAATGATTGGTGGGGGTTCTGTGTCGATGAGTGTTCTGTTTCTATCTATTGGAGGTGCTTCATCTCCAAGCGGTGTGACACTCAATTCGCACACTTCATTCTTGTCGAGTCTCTGTAATGTTTTGTTATGTGTCTTTTCCTTTTCGATGATCTCTGGTTCATTCCCAAGTATTATTTCGCTCTCTTCTATTGTGACTGGAATGTTATATTCGACATTTTGAGATTTGAGGATTTTATATGAAGGGTGCAATTGTTCTGTAATGACGACTTTGTTCTTCGTCACATCTTTACTGTTCTTGAGATGTTCTTTGTTTTGTTCTTTATTTGTCTCTGTTGAAGTAATATTCGAGACTTCTATATTAATCATTCCATTCTCCTTTTCTTTCACTTCCACTATCTTGTCCTTCATAACTTCTTGATATGTGTTAGTGTTCATTACTGATATTTCATCATACACTGGTGTCATCATCTTCCGTTGTTTCTCCTCTCTTTCTCTTTTCCATTCTTCTATTTGACGTGCACCATCCTTAAAAATGGAGTCTTGGCTTTCCCGAATTTTGTCCGAACTATTACACCTCATAGTCTTCCTTTTCTTTTTATCGGTCTCTTTTTGCCGCGTCAGTCGTTTGTGGTCTCCGATATCCTTACACTCGACTATCGACAACACACTCTCCTCTTCTCCTCCAAAGGACTTTTCTTTGATCTTCCCAAGACTCTTGCGGACCTTTTTCGTCAGCCCTTTAATACCTTTTTCCGTCGAAACATCTTCGATTTTAAGTATTGGTGATGTGCTCTTCCCATCTTTGACTTCCTTTTTAATAGTTCTTGGGCTCTTCTCACGCTTTTCGATCTTAGGCAACACTTCCATTCCCATTGCTTGTGCAAAACAAATTTTACAAACTCGCTCTTCAGGCCCTTTAGGCGCAAGTTGAATCTTCCCACGACTACAATCCCCACAAATACACCGCCCACACATCCGACAGTGGTGTCTCCGATTCACAAAAGTGAATGGATCATGACAGATCAAACAACACTTCGTTTCATTGTCCGGTATCCACACGGGACGCAATATCCCTTCTTCACTCTCACTTCCACTCTCACGCCGCTCCTCGTCCGAGTACTTCTCAATCTCGTCGTACCACCCTTTCATCTCCCTCTTGCTCCCGCAGATCACTGTAAAGCTCTTCTTATTATTTTTGATCTTAAAGCTGTATTCAAATCGCGTGTCAACCTCAACACGGACGGTACGCAAATAGAACCACTCCGATACTATAATCCGTTGATTGCCAATGCCGTAGATCATCAAATCATTGAACAAATAGAAGTACCGCAATTTGTTCGTCTTCTTGCAGACCTTCATCAAGACGCCCTCCTTCACCAAGAAGCGGTCTTCCTCCGACAAGTCCAAGTCGTGTAATCCACTGATGTTTCTTTTGGTTTGAATGACAACGGCTTTCCGTTCGATGGCTTTTGTCTTGTTGTTGACCTCTTGTGTCACACTTTTGATTTGTTGCAGTGACTCTTCAATACACAAATAGTCTTCTTCTGTCTTCTCGGTGTGTTTCAAAAGGTCTTGAAGAAGTAATTGATACCTTGGAAGTCGTTGGACGGGCATAATTAAATAACTTCGTAGGTCCAAATGAGTGCTCGTTGGTATTTTCGCAATGAGATCGGCCATGAATGTCTCATACTTCGAATCAGCTTCATACTTCGAGATGATTTTGCTTGATGTGTCGTAGTGTGAAATATAATAAAAGTAGTCTTTAAAGAATGGGATAAACAATTTGAAGGTATTTCCTATAGTAGTGTACAGTTGATGAGTGTCGCGAAGTCTTCGAAGTGCCAAGTAAAACTTTTTGTTGACCTCCAGAATGTCATTGAAATATTTGAATATGTTCTCGACGTCGGAAAAACTCACTGGACTTTTCCGGTCATCCTTCAGAGTCGTGTAAAAAAAGTCAATACAACACTGCATCGACAAAATATAAAACTCTTCTGTCGTATAGATCTCGTCGATGATTTGTTCCCTTCGTGACTTCATCATTTCAATACTCAGTTGATCTATTTTTGTTCAACTAAGACTATTACTTTCATTTCAGAATGAATCAAGCAAAGGTATTACTAATTTATAGTTCATTAACAATTGTTTTATAGCTTATTCCCAAAGAAATATTTGATTATTGGTGGAGTGATAATTGGGTTGACAATGTAAAGTCCATCAAAAAAATTACTTAGTTTTTAATTAAAATAATTATACAAACATTTAACTATTATATATACTATTATATATACTATTATATATACTATTATATATACTATTATATATACTATATGAAAGCAAAGTTCCATCTTACCTAATAAGATGTATAAAAAGAAGAGTTAAACAGAAATATAACACATCTATTTCACTTGATACAACAAACAACATAATCTACTTCTTTTCTTGGACTTCACTCTTCTTAATTTTGTCTGTGGACTTTGCAAAGACATATTGAATTTTAGTACCCTTAGATTCGGGCTTTTTGTCGTCATCCTTTTTGAACACAACACCCTGATTCTTCTTGACATGTTCTAAAGGAGAAAAAGAAGGTGAAGGGCATTGTGTAGTTCCAGGACTGTCATGTAATATGAAGGACCCAATAGCATGTTCCTCGAAGCCCAACGAAGACGTTGAAGCCAATACCGCAGATTCCGATCTCATCACGTCGATTTCTTTCATGATAGGAGTTGATATGACCTTCTTATGGTAGACGGGGTACTTATCTTTCTTATCTGCGCCGTCACAGATTTTCGAATTGAATTCTGGAGTGAATATAGTGACTTCGTTCTCATTGTCCACAAACTCTTGAGGAAGTTGTGTGTTAACAACCTTTTTACTGTAGTCCACAACAACAACTACACAGACGGAAACATGATCCATTTTGCCTTTATACTCTTTAGAATCAGTCGGGAGCTTTTTACCGGGATTCAACCGTTGGAACTCACGCAAAGGCTCTGTTAGATTGACGACAAACTCGGACATCTTCAACACTACGTTCGTCGCAACGTCAGTGGTGTTGTCGTCTTCGATCAACTCCGTCATCTTCTTGTCGACCTCCTTATCCTTCGATTTGTATTTAATCCCGCGGAATTGAGGGTCGAAGTTATCATGCAACCCATCAGTCGCAACTATGATGATATCGTCCTCACACACTTTCTGATGCTTCAACTCGCCTCTTTTGATATCAGGTTCACACGAGTTAGCTGGCCCTATTCTCCCAAAACATTCATGCATATGTGAAATCGAGTCGTGGTACTTCCCACTGAGTGTTGTTGTGTGGTGGTGTTGTTTACTGTAGTAATACACTCGTGTATCTCCAATACTTAAGAACACCATATACGGCCCTTTCACTGTTTGGAGGACAACTACAATGCAGAGTGTTGTCGTCCCCGTCATAAAGAGTTGGACGTCTGGCCGGAAAATCGCCAAATGGCTCTGCACACAGACCTCCACTAACAAATTGCCAACGTCGCGAAGTGTTTGACAGCCATCAATGTTATCGGTGAAGTACTCAAGAGCTTTGTCTCGTGCGCTCGTAGCAGCTAGAAAGCTAGGCAGCCCCCACCCAGCACCATCTGCCATAACGGTCTTAATTGTTACTCCATTATTTCATCACTACATTACTATGAGTAGAGGAAGAAGAGTTAAAATAACTATAATTATAACTATAAGTATGATTAAGAGAATACGAAGTGGTATGTACTATTTGTATAAAATTAATAGAATCAATACTATGAATAAAAAGAGAAAAAGCAAACGCAAGTGCAATTCTGAAAGAGCCGTGTCGCGGACTTGTCACAATTCGGTTCCCCCATTTTAAGACCATTCATAGACCCATATGTACTAAAAGAAGTCAACGCTACACTACTCGACGACAAAAGACGACATTGCCCACTCGTCGTATCCGACGTCAGCGTGCATAACCGTCTTCCAATGGGAAGAATGTCATATTTCGGTATCTTCTTCACTTTCGACGAAAACGTGCTCACAAACAGCTTTCGAATTTGGTCGCTTGCGCATTGTGAATTGCTCATCACCGATAAGACAACTATTCGAGTTTCTTTGAGTAGTTTGCTCAAAAACACTTGGGGTGATTCGCCCGCACTACACCACTGCCACTTGTTTTACTAGTCATATTGTTCATTTTACCATTTAATTATAGTTTTGTATTTTAGACGAGCCGTAGCGCCAATTTTGGTTTGAATGAAATAATGGCATCAAAAGGCGCTGTATATCGGGAATTGCGTTCAACCATATTACTAACTTGTATTTGAAATACAAAGGCGCATAATATCTGCTTAGCACGGGACAACGAAATTTTAGTAAAAATAGTAAAAACAAACTATATTTCAAACATTTTTTTTGTTATGTATCTGAAACCAAATCAATCTTGACCGAATAACTTGTTTTGTAATTGAAACCCCATTCAATCGACAAAAAAATTGGCTAAATTATGCCTAAAATTTGGGGATAACTCCCGCATCACCCAAAAACAACATGGTTTGCTTTTTTTGTCAAGAATTTATTAACTAACTTTTTTAATCCCAAAAAATTATTAATTTATTAAATTTATTAAATGTTTAATTATAAAAATACCATATAAAGCACTTTTGGGAAACCTAAATATACATTACTCGACTATTGATAAAACAATTTTTAAATGTCTTTTCCAAGTTATCAAATGTATCTATAATAAACTATATCAAAAACTATATCTAAACCATACGATCGATGAACCAAAAGTATAGTTTAAAATACCAAATTAATAGAAACACACATCACAACGAACTGATTTGTTGGTCGCTGAATTTGTTGAGAGTGTACTTCATTCTGTCTTTAGTCTTGTCGTCTCCATTTTTCAGGACTTCCTTGTATTTCACGACAAACTCCTCTCCTCCGACTTCGTTCTGAATACTTTGGTTTTCGTTAATAAAGGCACAGACGAAGCAGATGATCTTGAAAAAGACGGGTGAGTTAATGTCTGTACTTAAGAACTGTTTCTTGAAGACTTGCATGAACTCCTTATGTTCAAATAACATTTTCTGAGCGTGCGGATTGTTATTCACAAGTGCTTTTAATACCCACCAGACGTTCTCCAGAATCCTTTCGTTCTTCTCTTCATTCAGCAACTTAATCATTTCGTATTGTCCATTCATTTTGACAAAGTCATTTGCGTTGTTAATGTCCTCCACAAGCTCCACCAACTCTTCCAACCCTAACCCTATCTCTTCTTCCGTCTTTTCTGGCTTCACTCCCTTCGCCTTCAAAGCAAGATACTTGTCACACTCTTGTAAGATGTTAAACATCATCTTCGCTTCGCTCTCTATCCCGTCAAATACCTTTCTCAGCCATTCCATGTCTTCCTTACTCGCGCGCGGTTTATTATCTCCCCCCACAAACCCATGTGTCAAGCAGAAGTTTAGAAGACCGTCGTTCATGTTCGAAAACTCAACCTTTTTCTCCATCGACTCGGCCCAAACCTTCTTGTCTTGTTCGTTATCGTGTGAATCCGCCATTCTTATTATTAAGTATAGTTTCCGTCTTATATAACTATTTTCGACATAGAATGTATACGTCACTACTTCGTACATTGCAAACGACATGACACGTCATTCTTTTGTATTATCATTACATATTATTCATTTACTATTTTATATAGTTTCTTTATTTATTTTTATCTAACATTATATAAATTAATTAATAATTTTATATCCTAATATTATTAAATATGGTATATTTTACTATAATTGATTGATTCACTTCAAGAAATATCGGAAAATAAATACACCCGACTATTCTAAATTATAGAATTGCATTCCGATAAAAAATAATGAATTTTTTACAAATTAAAATCAACTGGAACGAATAACATTTATTACACTCGCCCGATCAAAAATGTTATTAGAAAACTTCATTTGTGGACCTCATAGGTGGTTGCCTCGTTATTTCCAGCTCAGGCAGACGAATCGCTTCAATCCGAATCGAGCTGGGTAAACAGTTTTAGTAAACAACTTTCCGCCCTTTCCTGAGACATCGTTGTATATCTCCTCGAACGCTTTACCGCTCCACTCCTTTGAGTTGATGTAACACTGTTTGTTGTTAGAAACATGACAGAAGTACTGGACACAAAAGAGTGCATTTCCGGACTTATAAATCCAGAGTGGATAGCAGTCGGGACGAATTGGTGTGAATTTTTGGGAAGCGTTAACGCCTCCATTGAATGGGTTTTTAAGAGTGAAAACAAAGTGATTTGGGTCTTTCACCACCCACTCACTTGGCTTTGTCGGTAACACGGAGTGATATGAACCAAACACATTGCCCCCATCCGTTTCGACTACAGTCATGATATTGCCTTTGTCTCGTATTTTTTCAAAGAGCGAAGTTGGTGCATCGACGGTCGAGTCGAATAGAATAGACGGCGTCATCTTATTTGTCCACGCTGTGAGTTGTTTGAGGTATTGAGATATTCCCGGTGTTCTTTTTAACGACCACGCCATGTGTATATCTTTTGATTCCTCTTTGATCCATTCCATCAACGAGTTTTTGTACACTTGTGACGACTCCTTGACTTCTGCAATTGTTTGTTCGATTTGTTGTAAGTCTTCGTTGAAATTGAGTTTCATTTTAAGCTGTGGAACAACGTCTGTTGTGACACTGTTTATCTTCAACGTGTTGTTTACAAAATTGATTGTTCCTTGATTAATCAATTGATGGATTTTCACGTTGTACTCCGCTTGCTCCATTCTTATTTTTCAGTCCACACTTTTTAAAATTCTCATTTGTGTCAGACACCAAAACCCTATTTTTCCTTAACTCATTGAACACTTGTTAAGGATGTCCGACACACTCTCACACCCCCAAAAGGCTTTTGCCTTCTACAGAGATGTCCTCAAAAGCCCACACGTCATTTTAGCGCCAATGGTCGACGGGTCCGACACTTCATTCCGGTCATTTGTCCACAAGCATGGGGTCGACCTCTGCTACACTCCGATGGTCCTCTCAAAGTTATTTAATGAATCGAAGACCTATCGACAAGAGGTGATTAAAACATTAGACCCAAGGGAGCGACCTTTAGTCATTCAAATAGTTGGCCATGACCCCGACGAGATGGGGAGGGCAGCCAAGTTACTTTCCAAGTATTGTGATGTGATAGATATCAACTTGGGCTGTCCACAGAAGATAGCGCAAAAGGGGCAGTACGGGGCGTATTTGTCGCAAGACCTATCGCAAACGGAGAAAGTCGTCAAAGCCGTGATGAAAGCTGTAGAAGTTCCTGTGTACTGTAAGATCAGAGTGTCTGAAGACCATGAGAAGACGATGAAGTTGGTTGATATGTTAGTCGCGTGTGGTATTTGGGGACTTTGTGTACATGGCAGGACAATCGATGAGAAGCAGAGTGGCGTCTATCACGCGCGTTGGGAGATCATTTCCGACATTAAGAAGCGCGTGGCCATTCCGGTCATCGCGAATGGGGGGATAGCCACTATGAGTGACATTCAGAAGTGTAAAGAGATCACCAACGCCGATGGGTTTATGATAGGAATGGGACTCTTACTGAACCCTGGACTATGTGAAGGGAGACTTGATGACAACTTTCTATTAGCTTCCGAGTACTTATCGTTAGCTGAAGAGCTCAGTCTCACGTGTTTAGTGAAGTTTTGGGAGGTCAAAGGTCACATTATAAAGATGTTGATCTATCGCATCCGACCCGAGAAGGACATCGTGAAGGAAATTGGTCTTGTAACGACATATGAAGACATAAAGACGTGGATGGGCAAGGCAGAGCACCTTTTTCGGAAGCGGTCCGACGACATTTCCCACAGTCAAGACATGTTAGTTCAAGACAAGAAACTCATGAATGAACAAGTTCTGCAACCTGACGAAGAAAAAGTGGAGAAAGAATGTTAAAGAAAAATCACATATAACAAGTCCTTATTTTGTATCACTTTCTTCCTCTTTTGACTCTTAATCTAATTCTTGATATCCAACTTTCTGGTTCTTGCGATACATCGAGAAGATAAATAATCCTAAGATCACTATAAGAATCATCGTCGTGATCACAACGACTGTCGTACATAAGATGATCACTATAATCTTCTTAGGAGTCTCCGCGGCGTCATCGTTGAGACACGAATTCTCAACACAAACCATATCTGTGATATCTACATAGTAATTGTAGTCACAATACGACAACGAACAATTCTGTGACCACTTCCCGTCGTCACATAAATACCCATTGTGTTCATGTGTGAACAACGTCCCACTACAATTGCCACTGTCGTACGCGATCCGATCATTTTCTTCATTGCACTCCGTCGCAAATAGGTTCAACGCACGAAACGCGTCAGTCGCGAATTGACTGAATGTGTCGTAGTGACTTGTGGAGTTGAAATGGAAGTCCGGGACGACGCGAAGAAATTCAAAGCTTTCTTTGAGGGTATCCCAGTGACTGTATGAGTAGTCATACGTTTCAAAGAAGGGGAGTCCGACCTCGAACGCGTAGATTTGGAAGTTTGGAAATAGCTTTTGGAGCATCCCATTCTCAAGAGACAAAGAGGCGTCTTGAGCGACTCGCGCCTTCTCATCATTCTCACCATACACAACAGATATCGCACTTCCTCGTGACACTAAACCAAGTGCAAATTGCCCACAGACACCAGTGCATGTGCCATCGGAGAAGATCACTATTTGGTACGAATACCTCACATTGTCATATAACCCCACAATGATATCATCGTGCTTAAAGTAAAGAGTTTCTGTATGGACAAAGGTGGCATTCTCGATATAATCGACACGATACCCTTCTAACAAATCTCGCGGAGTTACCTTCCCGCAACTACTGTTCCTGAAATTGGTCACAACCATATTGTTCATTTCTTGGAACGCCCGCATCGAGCCTATAAGCCGTGTGTCGTCGTGCCTCATCAGTGCGTCGTGGAGACTGTTTGCGACATTGACATCGCCACCCGCAAAGTCTTGCACCAAAATCGCGATGGGGTAGTCGTTAGTGTCGAATGTCTGGACGCACTTGTTCAATGCCTCCGCATCTGTTTTTTGCAATGAAAAGAGGTGTAACACATTAATTCCTCTCGACGGGCTTGTCTGGCACAGAACTCCATTTGCATAGCGGACGATTTGAGGAGGGTCTTTGGTATAGTACATTTGATAGTTCATATTAACATTTGTTTCGTTTAGTAAAGTGACCACAATTGGGGTCTTTAAAATCGATTCTTCGAGGGGGAGAACTTGCAGTGAAAATATAGATATCATATTAAGAGCCCAAGAGATCATTGCGTGTTGAGTATTATAGCCGCTGTTCATTCCAAAGTTGAGAAAGAAGTCGTGAGGCGACAATGAATTAATAGCCTTTATTTCTTCAGTAATTGAATCAACTTTGATGTCATAATATTTGTTTGAAGGGTTTGGAATGAGGTAATACTTCGAGTCAATGATTCTGAACGTGTAAGGCAGTAGAGCAATAGTCTTAGTGAAATAATGCGTAGTTGGAAAACGGAGGTAAAGGGAAGGATCTTTTGCTGTTAAAAACGTTTTAAAAATTGCTTGTTGGAAAGTGTAAATTGGTTGCGTCGATGTCTCTATTTCTTTCACTTGTGCTAATAAGTCGATTGGATGGCTTACTTTGTTGGTATTCCGATTAATAGCAGATACATAGATATTGACCATTTTCTCCATGTTAGATGCTATTTTGGTGTTAACAGAATCACTTGAAATCTCACTATTTATGCATTCAAAAATGCCGTCTGGTGTATACATGGTATCGTCCTGAAGTTTATTACACGGAATTGCTGTCACTAAATTCAAGTAAAGAATTACAATGAACATTGCAATGGGTACTTTATTAGTTTTTTCTTTGATTTTTTACCATTGAAACTAGCCAAATATTATACAAACCAACTCAAATAGTTGTGTGATACAATGGTGATATTAAAAAACATTTTACAGTCGATTCTTCTCTTTTTATTTCATATTTTTTTGGATTAGTATAGTTTTAGTATTAGAATTTAAAGTTAAATAATCAATAGTATTAACACCTAAGACTTTTGGAAAAAAGAAAAAATAAAAACATTTTTTTAAAAATGTTTTCAATTCCAATTTTTCAATTTGAATTTTAAGCCTCAGTTTACTCTAAAACGTCTATAGATGTAGACAAATAACATTTTAAATACAATAACAATAATTACAAACATTCTCCAAGCACTTTTTGCAAACCACAACAGAAAAAAACATGTTTTTAGTTTTGATTTGCAAATGCAAAACAAATACTATTGTGAATAAATTCTGAACATTTTGAACATTTTTGGAAATTTTTCGACAAACACGTTTCTTTGGGTTATTATGCATTTTTTTTATTCACGAGGATTTTATCATTAATACACTATCTTGGAAAGTGTATTAACAGTTTCAAACTCAACACTACATTGTTCACTTTCCCTTTAATTGTTTTTGTTCGTGTATAAAGTCTCCAAAAAACAACAGATATTTTGTAACTAACGTTTTTTGTTTATTTTTTGATTTGTTTTCCACAACAAGGTTTTCAATTGTGGTTTATCCAAAAACATTATAATCGATGGTTTCATTTTTTGGTAAAAAAATTCTTGTTAAACGCATAAACGCACTTGCTGATCTGATGTCGACAAATACTTTGTTGTTTTTATTATAATTAACAACCACAAATCCTGCGCGATGGAATAAAGACTCTATATTTTTTCTTGTTGCCTTTTCCTCGATGACTTTCATTACTTTAGTCATATGCTCCGAAATTACACTTCCTCTTGCTGTTCTCTCATTTGAAGTTGCTCGTTTACTCAAAAGATCATCAGGTTGTTTTATCCATGATGCAACTGGGTAGTTTATAGAAACATTGTTATTAACCAACACGTCTGCTGTCGTTAGAAAAGTAAACCCACTTTGAGTTGGTTGTTAAGTGGTTTGAATGATGCTGGTTGAACTTCTGAACAGTGGTGTATCAGACGGGCTTAATTTTTTGACAGCGCCGAAAAGACATAAATCAACTTGCTTTACAATATGACTTGAGTGTGGTTCGAAGAAATGAAAACAAATGAAGTTGTTGTGAAATAATATTTTGAGTTTGTCACCAACATGTGCGCTGAAGTTGTCCATTAAAATGACTATAACTTGGGTAGATGGGTGGTTGAGTGATCTTTTTTAGTTGGCAATAAAAAAGAAAAACTTCGTACATTCAAGTTTTAAATATTAGCTGGTTAGCAAACACTGTCTTTGAGTTGTACAAAAACAAAAATTGGTATTTGGTTAATATGGATTCATTAACAAAAATATTTTGAATAACAGCTACTGGGACTTAAAACGGTCCATCCGCTGAAATACATACAATGTGCGTGCTTCTTTTCGATGCTCTTGGAATACCATCTTTGACACATTTCCTGGATTTGCCGAAAATAGAAACATTTTGTTTGTCTGCTCATTCATTACATCCCACTTCATCGATGTTGAACAATAAAAAGGATTCAATTCCATTGAAATTGTCTACAAATTTCAAATAATTATTCAATAAATTTTTATAGTTGGTTTGAATTTTTTTTCTATTTCTTCAGGCTTGGCTTGAACAACATCATAATCATGAAATTTTTTTAATATGTTTGATCATTCTTTTTCTTATCATTTCGAACTTGAAGTCAAAAGATTGGTATAGGTGATCAATCAACGTTGGAGTTTGATTTAACAAACATGTATCACATTGATCAAACAAAGAAGCAATTACAGTATCCATTGTTTCGTTTATTTTACACTAATTAACGGGTTCTTTAGACTTGTTTCAAATGTGTCGAAACTTCTCCTTTAATATCAAATTGAACACCAAGTGTTTTATTACTTACTTTATAAAGAATCTTTAAATATTGTATTTGTTCCACTGCGCTAATTTTATTTCAAATTCTTCATCTGCCGCAAACTCCGAAATAGTCTAAGGTTCTTGAATATAAAAGACATGTGAAACTTCTCCCTTTTTATACAACTTCGCCACAATAAGTTTCATTTGCTGTTTTGATATTGCTGCTTTTCTTTTGGGTTTTTCGATTGGGGATTTGAAATGCTTAACAATTAGGCCTGCCTCGACAATATTTTTGATTTTTTCAAGAAATTTCATCGTTATTAACCTTATGAAGGTGGTTGTTATATTAATTTATCATTATTTTTTTGATAAATACAGAAATAAAATTCAATAAAGTCTAAAATTAATAATCCATATAATAGTAACGTTTTTATTTTTGTTTATAATTAATGATAATAAAATAATAATATTATTTTTGTGTTGGTTTTTTGGATACAAAGTAATTTAAACAATCATAACAAGAACAATTCGATGACCAACACAAATCGACACACCACTATAATAACAATCCACGTTACTTTTTCCCTTGATTATTCCAACACATGTTCTACACTTTTACAAAGTTGGATACTTTGTTAGATAACAACTTGACCTTTCATTTCTTTAACCTTGTTCTTTTTTCTTTGAATGGCGTTTTTGAATTTGAGTCTTTCTTCGATTGGTTTGAATTGTTTAATTGAGTATTTATTGAATGTGTTTATACCTCAATATTTATATGTTGTCATATTTTTCGTATTTCATTTAACACTTCTTCATGAGTTATTATCACACATTTTATTGCTTTTTCGGTCAATTTGTCGTAATTACTCACTTTGCACAAAAAATATTTTTACAAGTGGTTGAGACAAATATATCAACCATTATTCATTTTTGTTTGTCGACCATGAACTTGAAAAACATGTAAAGCACATATATCAATCATGTCGAAGAACAGTGCAAGTAACCATATCCGAGTGCCTCTTTTGCATGTAAAATGTCTAACCATGCCATCAACTGTGTTGACTCCTCCCATTCCTTTGTTGTAACTTTGTTGGATATAAAATGTTCCACTTTTCTTATCAAACTTCATGTTGTTTTCTCTTGCTGTCAAAAAATACCGACTTTGAACTTTTATCGAAATAGTTTAATATTAATATTGGAAATGTCAGTTTTAGTTTCTCTGGATATTCAATTTGATCAATTTCGATCTACATAAAATTTTTATGGCACCCTTTTGTTTGAACCGTTTCGGAACAAAAGAACGATTAGCAAGACAAGTAACAACAACAATAATACTTTTTAATTTCAATTTTCTTGTAAGATTAAAAGAAGTGAATAAATTATCCACAAACAAACAAAATTTATTATTTATGATTTTTTGAAACGAGTTTTGTTACAACATTTTCAATGTAAAATTCTTCCGTTTCACCTTTATTTTTCCCAAAAATAGTATTATGTTTATAACCATTCCAGTTCCATTGTCAACAACCATCCACAAATTTATACCATATTTTCCGGGCTATATAGGTATGTATTGCCTAAATCTACAATGTCCATATTTATTTAACCAATTGCTCATCAATGCACAAACTACAACTTATTGTAATTTCAACATAATTATTAGTCAAAATTTCCACAAACTTGTCAAATAGTTCTTGTATTTTATAATAATTACTTTTGTCTTCGAGTTTTTTCTTATGTAAAATTTCACTTAATTCTTTCGTGTATATTTTTTGTATAAGAAATTTCATTATTTTAACTTGTATCTTCGGTTTTATCGTTGCTTTCACTATTACATTTCAATTATCTAGTCAACTTGAGTGGTGAAAACTTTTATTGTATCGAATTGTTGAGTAGTGAGATAATTTGTTTCTTTTTCTTGTTGGTCATAAATTGAAGAAGTGTGAGAATAAAAATTGGGTATTTTTTTTTCGATTACTTTTATGTTTATTTTGTTTATTTTATCTTTCTTTTGTATCTCTCTATTTACAATATCAATTTCATTTTATATTCTCATAGCTGCATCCTTGAAAAATCTAAGTGACCTTAATATCTGTTTGACTCTTTCTTGACTCATTACTGATCTATAAAAATGTTGCCAAATCTACCACACATATAACCAAGACTTTTTGTTGTTATTTGCTACTCCTTGAAAAAACAAGAAACCAAGAAAATATCATATTTTATATTTCCAAAATAGACTATTTGTTGGGGAATAACAATTTACCACAGTTGTTGGTCTAATCTATTATCATCTGCTTCATATTTCTAGTAAATATATATTTCAAAACAATCTTTGTAAGTCATCACAATTTTGGTTTGGGGGAGAAAAGTATTAAATCAAATGGATATTCACAGGAACGACAGTGTATAATTTACACGAAAAAATATTGATGTCTTTTTCTTGTTGTTTGTTGGTCGGTGTTATCATTGAATTTTTCGTTTTCTTTTGTTATCTTTGAACTATAAAAACATTTGTAATATCATTAGTTATTAATGAAAATTTAATTTAAATTTGTGTTTTTTGGAAAAAAATGATATGTTGATCACACCCGCCTCTCCAACACATAATAATTAAAAACATTTTTAATACAAATAATGTTATAAACCACTGTCCTCAGGTTAAAATTGCATTTTGTTTCTTATTTTTCAATTTTTAAAAATATTATTTTTTAAAAATTATCGATTTTTTTGTTAAATATGATAGAAAAAAAATATTATCAATTAATAGTTTTAATGTGCTAATGTCAAGTTGAATTATTATTTATTTATAATGTTGTTATTGTATTTTGAATAAAAAATACTTGTATTATTATATAGTTTATTTATTTAAATAAAATAATTTACTTTAACACCCAAATTAACGTTGAACTAAATTCAAGTAGTTTAAAAACGGGAAATCTTGACTTTATTAAATATTTTTCCATTTTTTTAAAAGTTTATTTTTTATATAAAAGTACACAAGCCAAAAATCAAAAACATCAAATAATAAGTATATATTATAGTAAAAATAGATCAATTAATATACTTGTGAGTATTTATGTGCATCCGAAGATCAGCAGTTCAACCTGTTGATAGTACGTACTAAGCTCTCATGTTTCACGTACTAAGCTCTCATGTTTAACGTACTAAGCTCTCATGTTTAACGAACTAAACCCTCATGGCTAACGTACTAAGCTCTCATGGCTAACGTACTAAGCTCTCATGTTTCACGTACTAAGCTCTCATGTTTGAACAATAAAATTAATATAAATCAGCAACTTAAATAGCCTCTAAGGTTTTAAGTTTTATAAGAAAAAAAAGAATATATAAGG